AAACTCGTCTTTAGTTATTAAGGATCCATTTACCTGTTATTTAAGATGGTTCCGTTGAGATATATAGACAATTTCACTCTCTATAATTTGAATTCTAAGGCATTCCCATAGTGTTCTGAGCTCTACCAGCTTAATTTCCTACGGAGAGTTACTATAATCCTTTTCAAAAGCCGAGTCGTTGAGGGAAAAATATAAATGTAAACAGTACTCTCGTCACTTCAGATGTGCTTGAAGGAGAATTCTCACTGTTTTCCTAATGTCCTTCAGATATTGGGGCTCTAATTACGTGAAATTCACTTGTTCCACAGACAATTCAACACATTTCCAGGATCTACTATTGTGAATTCTAATACAAATAAACACATTTCCATGGTGTTCTAAGCTCTATAAGCTTGAATTCTTAAGGATATCACGTAGAATCTTTAGAAAAGCCAAGTCTTTGAACGGGACTTTAAATGTAAACACTATCGTCATTATTTCACAGCTGTTTGAACGTGATTGTTTAGTGTATTTAAACTCGTCCTTAGGTTTCAAGGATCCATTTACATGTTATTCAAGTGGTCTGTTGAGATATATATACCATTTCTCCGTCTATAATTTGAATTAAAAGACATTCCCATACTGTTCTGAGCTCTATAAGCTTGAATTCTTACGGTTTTTACCAAGATTCCTTTAGAAAAGCCGAGTCACAGAAGAGAAATTATAAATGCAAACAGTACTCTCGTCACTTCAGATGTGCTTGAAGGAGAATTCTCACTGTTTTACTACTGTCCTTCAGATATTGGGGCTCTAATTACGTGAAATTCAATTGTTTCACAGACAATTGAAGACAAATCCTGGCTATATTGTTGTGAATTCTAATACAAATACACACATTTCCATGGTGTTCGAAGCTCTGTATGCTTGAATTCTTAAGGACTTTAACTAGAATCCATTAGAAAAGCCAAGTCTTCTACGTCATTTTAAATGTAAACTCTATGCTCATCATTTCAATTCCGTTTGAACGGGATATTTCAGTGTATTTACACTCGTCTTTAGTTATTAAGGATCCATTTACCTGTTATTCAAGATTCCCGTTGAGATATATAGCCAATTTCACCGTCTATAATTTGAATTACAAGACATTCCCATACTGTTCTGAGCTCTATAACATTGAATTCTTACTGTTTTTAACAAGATTCCTTTAGAAAAGCTGAGTCAGAGAAGAGAAATTATAAATGTAAACAGTACTCTCATCACTTCAGATGTGCTTGAAGGAGAATTCTCACTGTTTTACGAGTGTCCTTCAGATATTGGGGCTCTCATTACGTGAAATTCACTTGTTCCACACACAATTCAACACAATTCCAGCATCTACTATTGTGAATTCTAATACAAATAAACACATTTCCATGGTTTTTTAAGCTCTATATGCTTGAATTCTTAAGGATATCACGTAGAATCTTTAGAAAAGCCAAGTCTTTGAACGGGTCTTTAAATGTAAACACTATCGTCATTATTTCACAGCTGTTTGAACGTGATTGTTTAGTGTATTTAAACTTGTCCTTAGTTTTCAAGGATCCATTTGCATGTTATTCAAGTGGTCTGTTGAGATATATAGACAATTTCTCCGTCTATAATTTGAATTCTAAGACATTCCCCTAGTGTTCTGAGCTCTACTAGGTTGAATTCTTACGGACGGTAACTATAATCCTTTTGAAAAGCCAAGTCATTGACGAGAAAATATAAATGTAAACAGTACTCTCGTCACTTCAGATGTGCTTGAAGGAGAATTCTCACTGTTTTCCTAATGTCCTTCAGATATTGGGGCTCTAATTACGTGAAATTCGATTGTTCCACAGACAATTCAACACATTTCCAGGATCTACTATTGTGAATTCTAATACAAATAAACACATTTCCATGGTGTTCTAAGCTCTATATGCTTGAATTCTTAAGGATATCACGTAGAATCTTTAGAAAAGCCAAGTCTTTGAACGGGACTTTAAATGTAAACACTATCGTCATTATTTCACAGCTGTTTGAACGTGATTGTTTAGTGTATTTAAACTCATCCTTATTTTTCAAGGATCCATTTACCTGTTATTTAAGAGTTCCGTTGACATATATAGACAATTTCCCTTTCTACAATTTGAATTCTAAGACATTCCCATAGTGTTCTGAGCTCTACTAGCTTGAATTCTTACGGAAGGTAACTATAATCCTTTTGAAAAGCCAAGTCATTGACGGGAGCAAAGCCTGACAGCCCTGGGGCTGGTGGAGCAGCAAAGCCTCACGGCCACGGTGCCAGCAGAGCAGCAAAGCCTCAAGGCCATGGGGCCGGTGGAGCAGCGAAGCCTCACGGCTCCAGGGTCGGCGGAGCAGCAAAGCCTCACGGCTCCAGGGCCGGCAGTGAAGCCTCAGGGCCGTGGGTCCAGCAGAGCAGCAAAGCCTCACGGCTCCGGGGCCGGCTCCGGCTGGAGCCCAGCCAGAGTGAAGGCCTGGGTGCCAGGTGCCGGATGAAAACCGGTGCCAGCAGCCCAGGGAAAGGAAGGCCTATTGCATGAATCACTTCGTGCAGCAGGCCTCTAGTTGCTAAATAAACAAGAACTTCTGGGGGTCCTCAGTTTGAGAAGCACTGCTGTCAATCTAGCATCACTGATCTTCAGTGAGCTCCTCTAAGTTGGCTGACCATACCCTAAGAAAGGGATCTTTCCATCTACACTGGTACCCTCAACCTGCCGTCTGCAGCCTATTGCTGGTCCATAAACTATTCCTGATTCATAATAAGCTAAGTACCAAAATCGAGGGCAAACTTTTAGAAACATTTGCAGCAATTTTACATTGCTACTCAACCAACCACATATGGGCTTATATTTTATAAGTCCTTGTTTTTTTTTTTCATTTCATTTTTCTAGTTGTTCATTTTTATGGTATTTTACAAAAGTGTCAGTCTGCAACACTTTGGAAATATTTAAAAGTGGTCCTTCACAGATATATTGTGAAACATCCTATATAATAAAAGAGAAACATGCAAATTAACCGTCCCTCTGCTACGCTTACCAGCCAATCAGAGTGAGTATGCAAATTAACCTGAGAAAGATGGCAGGTTAATTTGCATACACAGGCACCAGGCAGCCGGGGAAGGGGCAGGTTCTTCCCCTGCATCGACATGGCGCCAGGGAGCTGGGGGCAAGGTGGCGTGTGCAGACACCAGGGAGCCTGTGTTGGGGCGGGAGCTTCCCCTGTGTCACCATGGTGATATGGGGAAACTCTCACCTGGCAGGCGCGCGCATGCAGGCACCGGGGAGACGGGGTCGGGTCAGGAGCTTCCCCCGCATCACCATGGTGACGCTGGGGAAGTTCTTGCCCTGCGGCTGCTTGTGCATGCGCTGGCCCCAGGAAGCTGGGGGGGCGGGGTGGGGCGGCACGCGCGTACGCCAGGGATGCTTCCGCCCGGATAGCACGCACACACAGGCTCCTGGGAGTCGGGGTTGGGGGGGAGGTGCGCGGAAGCTGGGGACGGGGGAAGCTCCCATCCCACTGGAGTGCGTGCGCGGGTGCCGCTACGCCCATCAGCCAATCAGGGCAAGTATGCAAATTAACCCAACAAAGATGGCAGCAGCCATGAAGCTGGAGCTTGGGTTGCCCCTGGCGACGGAGGAAGCCAAGCTTCCCACCCGCCTTGGCTGCTGCTGAAGGAGTGGTTGGGAACCTGGGTCGGGGGTGACCCAGGCTTCCAGCTGGCCCTGGCCTCTGCTCAAGGAGTGGCTGGGGAAAAAACAAAAAAAAAAGGAGGGGCTGGCCTCCTCTCTAGGAGGGGCTAGGAGCCTGCGGGGGGGAGGTGTGGCCAGCCTGAAAACGGCCCTCAGGCCCTTAATCAGGCTGGCCACGTCCCCATGGAGTAAGAGTCCCCGCTGGGGGGGCGTGGCTAGCCTGCAAACAGCCATCATCCCCTCACCCAGGCTGGCTAGGCACCCCAGCAGGGACCCCCATCCTGAAGGGGGTACGGTCAGCCTGAAAACAGCCCTCAGCCCCTCACCTAGGCTGGCCACAGACCCCCAGTGGGGACCCTCACTCCATGGGGGTGTGGCCAGCCTGCAAACCACCACAGGCCCCTCTCCCAGGCCACCCCATGCCCCAAGGGAACCCCCACCCTGATCCGGGACACCCTTCAGGTCAAACCAGCCAGCCCCCACCTGTGCACCAGGCCTCTATACTAATAAAAAAGTAATATGCTAATTAGACTAGGAGACCTTCCAGACAAAGCCATGGTAGTGGGGCCGAAGTAGAGGCGGTTAGAGGCCAAGAAGGGAGGGCAGTTGTGGGCGATCAGGCCAGGGTGGGGGGGCCATTGGGGGTGATCAGGCTGGGGGGGCAGTTGGGGGTGAGCAGACCAGCAGGGGGGCCAGTTGGGGGCAAGCAGGCCATCAGTGGGGGTCAGTTGGGGGTGATCAGGACTGTGGGGGGGCAGTTTGGAGTAGGCAGGCCAGCAGGGGGGCAGTTGGGGGTGAGCAGGCCAGTGGAGAGATAAGGTGGGAGCAAGCAGGCCAGCAGGGGGGGCAGTTGGGGGTGATCAGGCTGGCGGGGGGAGCATTTGGGGGTGAGCAGGCCAGCAGCAGGGGGCAGTTGGGGGCGAGCAGGCCAGCAGGCAGGTGAGTGGTTAGAAGCCAGCAGCCCCAGATTGTGAGAGGGATGTCCGACTGCTGGTTTAGGCCCGATCCCTGTAAACTGGCAGTAGGACATCCTTCCAGGTGCCCCAGATCGGAGAGGGTGCAGGCCAGGCTGAGGGACATCTCCCCCCCACCCCGTGCACAAATTTCATGCACCGGGCCACTAGTTGAAATATAATTAAACAGCCATTGGGATAATCCTCAAAGCAAAATACTGTCAATAGACACTATTTCCCCATGATTAATGATACTCCAGAGAACTTCCCTTCTGTATATAACTTCTAATGTAAATGTCAAAGCATCGCCCTTAAAATGGAAATTGGTAATGGTAAAGAAAATCATACATACCCTCTTCAGTGAAGAATCTTTCTATGGGTCCCACAAACTGATTGATTTCGTTAAGTTCATCTTGGCTAACTTCTGGAAATGGGAAAACTTCTTTCTAAAAATGATAATTAGTAAAAATGAATTTTAGCAACTTTCCATAGTGGTAATATCAGTCAAAAAGGAAGGAAACAGATTGGCTAGGTCCCATATCTGGTAGGCAGACCATTACCAATTAAAAGAATTAGAAAGCAAACCACAGAAGGTGCTTAAGATACAGGAATTGTATGTTAGTCTCCACTACCCAGATACATCCCCCTACCCTACTCAAGCAACTTTACTAGTAATTTTTATTGCTTTCCTTATCAATAACAAGTTATGATGATTTCCCCATGAAACAACGAGCCCTGGACTAACATTTCAAAGCACTGGGTTCTATCTCCAGCTTACTAACATGTGGCCTTCACCAAATCTCTACCGCCCCATACTTCCATTTTCTCACCCATAATATGCAGGTAATATTTACTCAATGTCATTGTGAGAATCATGGAAGATAACTGGTGTGAAAGCTCTTTTACTAAAATGTAAAATTTTACACTAGTTATTTTGTGAGTTCAAAGATGCTGCAGTTGACAAGAGCATAGTGTGTGGTTACAAAGTCTGACATCTTGTAAGGTTCCCATCCAGTTGCATACTCCAGCCTCCATTCCTCCTGCTGGATAACAGCTGTTACTTTGAATGTGCAAGGTAACAGGGTCACCGAAGGAGGCACAGATGTTGAGCCACATCAACCTTAATTCAGCCCTGGCTCTGCCACTTATTAGACGTGTGACTTGGATAAGTCACACAGCCTGTGTTAGTGTTAGCTGACATCAAATCAACCAGATAGTGTGTCCTGGAAATAAAAGTAATTGTAGTTATTTGTATCAGATCTCATACCTGAAAAACAAATTAGCTTCAAATCTCTATCTCAAACCAATGAGTGGTCAATATTTCTGACTAGCCCAGAATTCCCCATTGGGCCATCACTATATATTACCTAAAATCATCCTGTGTGCTTAGTCCGTTTGGCTTTTTGGGCTCCAGATACTCCTGCCAGCACAGCAGTTCTCAACCTGTGGGTCGCGACCCCTTTGGGAATAGAGCGACTCTTTCACAGGGGTCGCCTAAGACCATCGGAAAACACATATATAATTACATATTGTTTTGTGATTAATCACTATGCTTTAATTATGTTCAATTTGTAACAATGGAAATACATCCTGCATATCAGATATTTACATTACGATTCATAACTGTAGCAAAATTACAGTTATGAAGTAGCAACAAAAATAATTTTATGTATTAAAGGGTCGCGGCATTAGGAAGGTTGAGAACTACTGTGCCAGCATGACATGAGTATTTGGATTTGGAACTGCAGCTGCTGAGAAGTGATGTGCCAGATCACAAGCTGCCAGCCTCCAGAAACCCTGCCTCTCTTCATGGCACCTCTCACCAAGTGTCCCCAGATAGGTCTTCAAAGCAAAGGAATCTTCAATTTTTCCCCTCCAGCCCTTGAATACCTAATAAGCCACAAAACATTGCCCACTCTAGTAACATGCTCCCAAATCTGTTTTCTCCCCTTAGGCTCCATGACTACAGGCTTTTATATGTGGGGCCCTACCCAAAAGTGAAAGCTGACTTAAAGGAATTCCTGCCTTCAAGCCCACTGACCCTGCCCTCAAGACTGTCTAGAACAGTGGTAGGCAAACTGCGGCTCGGGAGCCACATGCAGCTCTTTGGCCCCTTGAGTGTGGCTCTTCCACAAAATACCACATGTGGACGCCGCACATAGAGTGCGATTGAAACTTCATGGCCCATGCGCAGAAGTCGGTTTTCGGCCTGGGTGAGTCTATTTTGAAGAAGTGGCGTTAGAAGAAGTGGGGGGTGGACATATAGAAAGGATGAATGAAAGGAGATAGACGAAACAAGTATACGAGTGTGGATGGGAGAGTTGGAAGGGGTCAACCTCAGCAAAGGTACCTCAATCAGATTGAGGACGTTTTTAGCAAAAGCCAGCTTAGGAGTACCCTAATTAAGTTAATAACAATGTACCTACCTATATAGTTTAAGTTTAAAAAATTTGGCTCTCAAAAGAAATTTCAATTGTTGTACTGTTGATATTTGGCTCTGTTGACTAATGAGTTTGCCGACCACTGGTCTAGAAAAAAAAAATGCTGACTTGCCGGGAGCCGGTCCATCCTTGCTGTTTCAAGGGACCTGGCATATATGGCATACTGTTCTTAATATGTTTGCTCACCTGCTTGGCACTATGTGTTTTAACCAAGGTCACCTCTCTGAGAAAGGTTGTTTCCCCAGATAGGGATTTTCCCCTGAAGTAAGGGAGGGAATAAAACCCCTAACTAAGTGCCAGGCGGGTAATTAATCACTTTACGAACAATCATGCTTAAGCTACATAATCTTTACTCCCTGGAATGGAGATAAGAAACGCCCTAACCTTTGGAATAGAGATTGATAGGATTGGAATCAACTGGTATAAATACAGATGTAACAAGACAACACACACAGAACCTAGACACAGAACCTACACAGAACCTAGAGACAGAAGAACTTCGCTGGAGAGAACATGGCAAAAGATCCTGGACAGAAACTGGGCACAGAACCTAGAGACAGAACCTAGCAAGAGAACCTGGCTGAAGAACCTAGAGACAGAACCTGGCTACAGAACCTGGATAGAACATGGCAAGAGAACCTGACTAGAACCTGGTGACAGAACCTGGCTGGAGAACCTAGCGAGGGAACATGGCTACAGAACCTGGCTGGAGAACCTGGAGAACCTAGCAAGAGAACATGGACACAGAACCTGGCTGGAGATCCTAACCAGAACTTCACTGGAGATCCTGACCAGAACTTGGCTGGAGATCCTGGCTAGGCTGCTGATCAACTGAACACTGTCTCCGTGTCATTCCTTCTTCGCCGACTCTGTCCACACCTTTGGGGACCCCTGGACCTGCTGGGGTTGGACCCCAGCACTGACTCTGCTCACTTTGCAGCCTCTCAGAACAAAGCCAGCCCCTTAGCTGAATATACAGAGGCTCAACTCACTGCACCTGCATTCACAGCCTCATGGTTCCACCTGGGCCTTGTGCAATGAACTGTGTTAGAGGAAAATTATACATTGGGGCCTTGACTTATGAGTGTCCCGACTAACGAGTTTTTTGAGATACCAGCGCTCTCCGCCGATTTTTTGCATTGAGTTGATAGAGTAATTTGAGTTAACGAGCTCCTTAACGAGCTCGGTCTCGGAACGAATTAAACTCCTAAGTCAAGGCCCCACTGTACAATTATTCTGGTACTAATGAGCACTCTAGATGAGAAGAGAACAGGCTGGAACTAGCTGGCCCTCAAGCACAACCAAATAATAACTGCTACAAGCAGAGAGATCTCAAGTATATGGGAAAGGAAATCTCTGATATCAATGTTTAAAAATTCAATGAAGTGCCTCATCGGTGCTGGGTTCAATTTTAACATCAGCAGTTTTCAAATGTTTCAAAGCAGTAAAACATGTTTCAACTAAATTTAGTACAGAAACCAAACATGTAAAACAGATAGAACTCAAGCTGCTCTGGCTGTGATGTAGAAGGGGAGAAAGGTCACCCAAATATCTCCCATTCAGCTTCCCACTGGTCCCAGCAGTAGCCCCAGGGGCACTTCCATGAAAAGTAAAGATCCAACTGAGGGCAGTGTGACAACTACTGGTTTAGATGGCCTTGAAGATCTTCTATTCTTAAATTCTAAGCATCTCAGATGCCATGTTCTGCTCAAACCCCTATAATGCTGTGAGAGATGATATTGACCTGAATCAGGGCAATGGTAGTGAGGTGCTTAAAATCAGACAGATTCTAAATATTAACCTGAAGGTAGAGAAAACAAGATTTGCTGTCAGATTAGTTGAGAGTATGAGAATAAGAGGCATCAAAGGTGATTCCAGGAACTTGGTCTGAACAAGTTGAGCAAATAGAGTTGCCACCATCTATGATGAAGACTGGTGACAGGAGCAGGATTGGGCTGGGAGACCAGGATCTTAGTTTTGCATATACAAATTTGAGATGCCTATTAGACATCTAGTGAAGCTTTTAGTAGAAAGGTAGACATAAAAGGAGTCTGAAGTTCAGAGGAGAAATCTGAGCTGGAGAAATAAATATGCGACATCAGGATATTGATAGTATTTAAAGCAACAATACCAAACTAGACCACCCAAGGTGGGATTGTAGATGGAAAGATCTACAGACTGAGTCTTAGAGAAATCCAGTTCTGGCAACCGCCATTCCTGGAAGTAGAACAAAACCATAAAGGCACAAACAAGCCTTTCCCAGTCCACCCCCCACCACACATCACAAAGGGGTCCAATGGAGACATCTGGGACAACTCAGATAGGACAACATTGCTGTCAGCATCTAGTTGTAGCAGAAAGTGCTATGTTCTCGAGGTACAGAACCCCCATTGTCCACCATACTCCCACAAAGGAATGGTTCCCTGAGACTGAGGCAACCTGATTACAGAGGGGACACCCACATCACCTAGGAATATAGGGCATTTTCCATGGCCCAGCCAAAACCACCCCACAGAGATCTCTGAAGCACTAGACATATAAATAAGAGAAAATAAAAAACTTGCATTTCAGGTGTCTAGGCAGAGAAATAACCCAACAAATACCATGAATAACCAAGGTAACATAGTAGCTCAAAAAAATGGAAAGTCTTCAGAAAATAAATGTAAAAACATGGAAGTATGTGATTTAAATGGCAGAGAAGTCAAAGATTGAAGTTCTGAAAAAAACAAACAAACAAACAAAAAACTTCAACAAGTTACATGAAAATTCAGAAGGGCAGTTTTATGAATTCAGAAATATAATCTATGAAAAAAAGGACTACTGCCCTGACCGGTTTGGCTCAGTGGATAGAGCATCAGGCCATGGACTACAAGGTCCCAGGTTCAATTCTGGTCAAGGGCATGTACCTTGGTTGCGGGCTTGATCCCCAGTAGAGGGCATGCAGGAGGCAGCTGATTGATGTTTCTCTCTCATTGATGTTTCTCTGTCTTTCCCTCTCACTCCCACTCTCTAAAAATCAATGGAAAAATATCCTCCAGTGATAATTTTAAAAAAAGAGAGAGAGATGAAGAATAAAAAAGAATAGTCTAGCCAGCATGGCTCGTGGTTGAGCATCAACCTATGAACCAGAAGGTCATGATTCAATTCCCTCTCCTCTCCTCTGTAAAAAATCAATAAAACTATATTTAAAGAAATTTTTTTTTTTTTTAAAAAAGGACTACCTTACCAATAAGATTGAAACGACAGAAAGGAACTAAATAGAAATTCTGAAGTTGAAGAACTCAATAAAAGAGATGAAGAATAGCCCTAGCCAGTTTGGCTCAGTAGATAGGGCATCAGCTTGCAGACTGAAGGGTCCTGGGTTTGATTCCAGTCAAGGGCATGTACCTTGGTTGCAGGGCCTGGGCCCTGGTCAGGGCCCGTGCAGGAGGCAACCAATTGATGTGTTTCTCTCACATTGATATTTTTCTCTTTCCTCTCTCTTCCACTCTCTCTAAAAATCAATGAAAAAATATCCTCCAGTGAGGATTTAAAAAAAAAAAGAGAGAGAGAGAATGAAGAATAAAAAAGAATAGCCCAGCCAGTGTGGTTCAGTGGTTGAACACCAACCGATGAACCAGAAGGTCACGGTTCAATTCTTGGTTGGGGCATATGCCCAGGTTGTGGGCTCCATCCCCAGTGTGGAGTGTGTAGAAGGCAGTGGATCAATGATTCTCTCTTATCATTCACTAGAGGCCTGGTGCATGAAATTCATGCACTGGGGGGAGGGGGAGAGTTCCTCAGCCCGGCCTGTGCCCCCTCGCAGTCCGGGACCCCCTTGGGGGATGTCCGCCTGCCGGCTGAGGCCCGCGCCCTCAGGGCGTGCATGGAAAGGACAGGACAGAAATTTCATCACACACCTGGAGTCACAGTGAAGGCACTGTTCCCTTCTTTTTTTCATTATACCAATTATTTTTATATTGTCCTTTCTGATGGAGTCAGATAGTTCTGGAAGAGTTCTTCTATTTTTTTCAGAGGCAGCCACAAACTGTGCATCACTTGTAGCTTGAAACAGGTTGCCAAGGGCCAGGCACAGACAGCGTCTGACACTGGCCTACACCAGAGTCCCTCCCAAGAGGCCCAGAACCAATACACCAAATGACCAGCTTCAGACAATATCAGAGCAGGCTCCATCAAACTTCACCAACAGCATACCCAAAGGAAGATCACAGCAGTACATGCACAGCAGCTTACATGCCATGTCAGGGTTGAGCTTCACAGTCAGCTAGTCTGAGATCGAACCCATGCACAAACTGGCCACCATGAATCAAGACTCAATTACAACAGAAGGCACACAAAAGCCATACAAAGGACACTGCTAGAGCACGCAGCTCAGATCAAGGTGACTCCCCTCCTCCCCCCAGGTTCCACAGGACACCTACTCCATAATGCCACTCCATGAAGACTTGGGAGTCATAGCAGATCTATTTTATACATAGAAACAAACACAAAGAGGCAGCACAATTAGGGAAACAAGGAAACAGGCTCCAAATGAAAGGAGAAATCTACAGAAAAAGAGCTAAATGAAATGGAGGCAAGCAATGTATCAGATATAGAGTTATAAAGATGCTCAAGGAACTTAGAGATAACTACACCAGCATGAAAAAGGACATACAGACCACCAAAAAGAATTTCTCAGGAAAAAAAATTCCATATCTGAGATCAAGAATAAACTGAAAAGAATAAAGAGTAGGTTGAATCAAATCAACAATTTGGAAGAAAAGGTAGAAGAAAAAAAAATCAGAGCAGCAAAAAGAAAAAAGAATTTAAAAAATGAGGATCATTTAAAGGAACTTTGGACAACATGAAGCTAACAACATTTGCATTATAGGGGTATCAGAAGGAAAAGAGAGAGAGAGCAAGGATTAAAAACTTATTTGAAGAAACAACAACAGAGAAATTTTCTAGCCCGGTGAAGAAAAAAGACACACAAATCCATAAATCACAGAGTCCCAAATAAGATAAACCCAAAGAGGCTCACACGAAGATACATCCCTTTTTATGCTGTGGAACCAAATATTCAAATTATCAAGGGTGACATCATCAGCCAAGATTAATATATCCAGCAAAATTATCCTTTATATATGAAGGAAAAAATTAAGACTTTATAGATACACAGAATCTGAGGGAATGTACCACCACAAGACGTGCATTACACAAAATACTCAACAGTGTTCTTCTACCTGAAACAAAAAGACAAAAAGATATAGAACTATGAGTAAGATGACTAACAGACAGAAGCAGAAAATTGCAACCATTGTTCAGAATAGGGTACTATACACTTAAATGTAACATAAAGGTTAAAGGAGTAAAAAAATTTAAAAAAAAAAGAGAAAGAAAAGCGCTACTGCAATTTAGAAATAAACAGCATAAAAAGGGATAATTTGTGACAACAAAACATAAAAGGACAGTGGGTAAAGATCTGAATTTGCACATGGAAATGGAGATAAGATGCAATCAGAAATAAAAAGAACTACTGTATATATTAAACTTTCTTTTACATAAACCTAATGGTAGCTACAAAAAAAAATCTAAATCTGAGACACCTAACAATATAACATTAAAAAAAGAGGAAACAAGGAAAAAAATCATAGAAAGCCACCAAAATGAAATTAACAGAACATAAGGGAAAATTAACAATGGAGACATAGAGCTACAAGAAAACAATAAATAAAATTATTATATTATATATCAATAGTCACACTGAATGTAAATAGGCTGAACTCCAATAAAAAGACACAGAGTAGTAGGTTGGATCAAAAAGGAAACCCAATACACAGCCTTCAGAAGACCTATTTCAGCTGCAAAGACAAACATAGGGGTGAAATCTGATACTCCAAGCAAACTGTATCCAGAAAAAAGCTGGGATAGCCATGACAAAATGGGTTTCAAGATAAAAAAGGTAATAGACAAATATGGACATTGTATAGAGATAAAGGGGACATTAAAGCAAGAAGACATAACACATTAATATATACGCACCCAATCTGGGAGCACCAAAATATATAAAGCAACTACTAACAGAACTACAGGGAGAAACTGGTAAAAACATAATGATAGTGAGGGACTTAAATACTTCACTAATCATATGAACAGATCATCCAAACAGAAAATCAATAAAGAACTATCAGCCTTAAATGACACATTTGGCCAAATGGACATAAGCAATATTTACGGAGACTTTTATCCCAAAACACCAGATTATATATTCTTCTTCTAGTGCACATGGATCATTCTCAAGGATAGACCATATGTTGGGACTCCAAACTAGCCTCAGCAATTTAAGAAGACTGAAATCATACCAAGCATATTCTCCAACCACATGCTTTGAAATTGGAAATCAACTGAAAAAAAGCAAACATACGGATATTAAACAACAACTACTAGACAATAACTGGGTCAAAGAAGAGATAAAAAGATTCAGAGACAGCTCAGCCAGTGTGGCTCAAAGGCTGAATGTGACCCATGTACCTTGAGGTCACTGATTCCATTACAGGTCAGAGCACATGCCTAGGTTGCGGGCTTGATCCCAGTGTGGGGCATGCAGAAGACAGCTGATCAATGTTTCTCTCTCGTCACTGATGCTTCTATCTCTCTCTGAAATCAATTAAAACGTTTAAAAAAATAGCTGGACCACTTGTCAGATGCAGATTCTCAGGCTTCCAGCCATGGAAAGACACTTCCTTTTTCTAGGAAAAATTATATGACCTAGAGGGCCTCAGGAATCTGGAATTTAAGCACTCCCCGTCCCTTGGGTGTATTTGTCAAGTAAGGACTAGGACAAAGCTTTACCCCAGTCTTTCCTGATAAGAGCAAAGACCGGAGGCAGAGACGAAAGGCCCGCCGGGCTCTGCCTTACCTTCTCGATCCTGCCCAGGAAGAGCTCCTTGGCGAAAGCGTGGGTGCGCGGACTGGAGCGCAGCGCTCGCCTGCTAACAGCGAAGGACCGCAGAGCCCAGCAGGTGCGCGCGCGGAGCCCGCAGACCATCATGCTGTCCAGAGTCCACACCCTCACAGGATTGTCCTGGATTCCCGCTCCGGCGCCCCGATGACGTCACAACATCGCGCCTCTCCACAAGCCAGAGCGCATGCGCGGTACCCGATGACATCACTTCTTTGCGCCTTCCACCAGATGGTGCGCATGCGCTTTGTATGATGTGATTGTTCTGCGCCTTCCTCTGGCCAGTGCGCATGCGCGGCTGGGGAAGGCGGCTGGGCTAACACCATCTTAATGGTGTCAGTTCCCAACGTTGGGGAACCTGAAGGACGTTGTTTTAAAGTACTAACGGTTGCCGGGCTGGTGGTGTTCATTGGTAGAGCCTCCTCCCATGCACCGGAAGCTGGTGGATTCGTTTCCGGTCAAGGACCCGTCCCTGGATTGCAGGTTGAATCCCCAGCCTGGGTTGGGGGCACCAAAAGATTCCAGATCTCTCTGTCTCCCCCCGCCCCCCCCCTCCAATTTCCCTTCCACTCTCTTAAAAATCAATGGAAAAATATCTTTGAGCCCAGTTGGTATGGTTCAGTGGTTGAGCGTGGATCTATGAACCAAGAGGTCATGGTTTGATTTCCAGTCAGGGTACATACCCGGGTAGTGGGCTCGATCCCCAGTAGGGGGCATGCAGGAGGCAGCCAATTAATGATTCTTATTATTGATGTTTCTATCTCTCTCTCTCCCTTTCTCTCTGAAATAAATAAAAATATATTTTTAAAAAAGAAAGAAAAATATCCTTGAGTGAGGATTAACAAACATAAATAAGTTTGTGTTATTTCTATTTTGTCTGAACATATAACATTGCATGGTATTCTTCCGTCCTTATCCCCACTTATGTTTTAGTCCTAGACCTTTATAATTTATTAGAGGCCCGCTGCACAAAAATTTGTGCACTGGGAGGGGGGGGGGTCCCCTCAGCCCGGCCTATGCCCTCTTGCAGTCTGGGACCCCTCGGGGGATGACCACCTGCTGGCTTAGGAATGCTCCTCGGGGGATTGGGCCTAAGCTGGCAATCAGACATCCCTCTGGCAGCCCGGCAGCCCTCAGGGGATGTCCACTTGCCAGCGGGGAGCAGGCCTAAGCTGCAGTCAGACATCCTTAGCACTGCTGAGGAGGCAGGAGAGGCTCCCACCACCACCGCTGTACTGGCAGCCGTCAGCCTGGCTTGTGGCTGAGCAGAGCTCCATGTGGGAGCTCACTGACCGCCAGAGGGCAGCTCCTGCATTGAGCGTCTGCTCCCTGGTGGTCAGTGTGTGTCATAGTGACCAGTCATTCCCAGTCTTTCTGCTGTGAGGGTCAGTTTGCACATTGCCCTTTTACTATATAGGATAGAGGCCTGGTGCACGGGTGGGGACTAGCTGGTTTGCCCTCAAGGGTGTCCTGGATCAGGGTGGGGGTCCCCACTGGGGTGCCTGGCCAGCCTGGGTGAGGGGATGATGGCTGTTTGCAGCTGGTCACACCTCCTTCAGGGTGGGGGTCTCCACTGGGGTGCCTGGCCAGCCTGGATGAGGGGCTGATGGCTGTTTTCAGGCTGGCGGGAGACTGAAGCTCCCAGCCTCTCCTTTTTTTTCTTTTTTCTTTTATTCTGGGATTTATTTAACCTTCTATAATTTAAACTTTGTTGCTGCTCCAGCTCTGAGGCCACAGCCTGCTGAAAGCAGGTATCTGGGGTTTGTTTAGCTTCTATAATTGCAACATTGTTGCTTGGAGTGGAGCTCAGAGCCCAGCCACAGCAGAGAGGAAGCTTGGCTTCCTCCATCACTGGAGCAAGCGAGCCTCCTGCTCGCTTCAACTGCATGGCTGCTGGCCGCCATCTTGGTTGGGTTAATTTGCATATTCTGCTGATTAGCCAATGGGAAGCATAGCGGAGGTATGGTCAATTACCATGTTTGTCTATTATTAGATTAGATGTATCCAGTGCTCATCAGTCCTTTTGTCAAAATTTCTCAAATCTCTTGGTTGGTTTGTCCTGTGATAGATTCCTCAGAAAGGACGCATAATAAGTGTATTCACCAAATTCTTGTATGTTCAAAACCTATGCAAAGCTACTTTTCTATATTTTTTTTAAATTGAGGTCCAGAGAATTTATCTTCTAAGTTAATTAATTGTATTTGTATTTGGATATGTCTCTCTGAGTGTTGATAATTGTGGGCTAGTTATTCCCCCCCCCCCCCCCAAGGATTTAGAACATTCAGGATGCAGGTTCAAGCCTTCTTTTTTTTAAAAAAAAATATATATTTTTATTGATTTCAGAGAAGGGAGAGGGAGAGATAGGAACATCAATGATGAGAATCATTGATAGGCTGCCTCCTGCACACCCACAACTGGGGATTAAGCCCATAACCCAGGCATGTGCCCTGACTGGGAATCCAACTGTGACCTCCTGGTTCACAGGTTGATGCTCAACCACTGAGCCACACCAGTCAGGCATCAGCTCTTCTTTATTATAGACCATTTTCTTTAATTATAGTCTTACATCTTAGTCTTATTACATGTATGTATATGTTTTTTAAAAATATTTTTTTATTGATTTCAGGGAGACAGGCAGAGGAGGAGAGATAGAAACATCAATGATGACAGAGAATCATTGATTGGCTGCCTCCTGCACGCCCCCTACTGGGGATCAAGCCCAAAACCTGGGCATGTGCCCTTGACTGGAATTGAACCTGGGACCTTTCAGTCCACAGGCCAGCGCTCTACCCATTGAGTCAAACTAGCTAGGGCTATATGTTCTCTTTTCATCTGCTACATCTCTACTTTCTCTCTGATCTCTAATACCTCCTTACATTTTATTTTCTTGGATCCTTCTATTTCCATCCTCAATGCCCATTTCTGTACTTTCAGTTATATCTTTTCTCCTTTAGGCAGCTGAGATAATTTTGTCTTTTTTTTTCTTTCTTGAGTTTAGTGAGCTTCCATTGCACATCTTATTTGTCCACATTTTTTGTTGTTAATCCTCACCCGAGGATTGCTTCTTCAGAGAGAGTCGAAGGGAGGATCAGGGAGAAAGAGAAATAGAGAGAAACATGGATGTGAGAGAGCCACATCAACTGGTTGCCTTCTGCATGCACCTCAACCAAGATTAGGTAGGGAACCCACAACACAGGTACATGCCCTTAACTTGGAATTGAACCCAAGACACTTCAGTCCACAGGGTGATACTCTAACCACTTAGCACACCAGCCAGGACTTATTTGTCCAATTTTACAGTCAAAACTCAGTTCTCAAATGTCTCCACCTCAAACAATTTAGTTCTCAACCAACTTGTTTACAGGAAAAAAAAGTCTGGGTTGTGGAACAAAACTTCAGTTTTGTGACCTGACAACCATTTTATGATGATACCTCAGCACGACAAAAAAGCTTCTCTCAGGCCACAAAGGAGAGAATGATCGCCCTGGCTGGTTTGGCTCAGTGGATAGAGCGTCGGCCTGCGGACCAAAGGGTCCCAGGTTTGATTCCGGTCAAGGACATGTACCTTGGTTACAGGCACATCCCCATTAGGGCGTGTGCAGGAGGCAGCTGATTGATGTTCCTCGCTCATCGATGTTTCTAACTCTCTATCCCTCTCCCTTCCTCTCTTGAAAAAATCAATAAAATGTATTTTTTTAAAAAGGGAGAGAATGATTAGCACAATTTTAAAATATAAAGAGGCAACCAAAAGTGCTAATGTTGCTAAGGGTGTGAAAGAAACAATGATTACAGGGAATTAAAGTAAAAAAAACTTGTTGATTTGAATAAACAAAAAGCAGTTAGCTGGGTGACAGCATTTCAGAGTCAGTGATAGGAAAAAGCAAATATGCTGCCTACTGACCTGAAAGATATCCCTGGACCCAGTGCTGAAAGTGATTCCTTTAAGGCTGGTAAGGGATGGTACGATAAATTTAAGAAAAGTGTTTATTTAGAGATTAAACAGTACATTAGGCATGTACTATACATAAGAAAGGTTAAAGTGGAATCATTTGTGGGTCTGGAACAAATTAATTAAATTTACATTATTTGTAATGGGGAAAAAATAATTCAGTTTTTGAATAAATCACTTCTCAAACAGCATTTGAAATGAATTAAGTTCAAGAACCGAGGTTCTACTGTATGTATTTTGAGCTTCTGAGTTTATGACTTGTGGTTTTTTTTCATATCTTATTGGTTGTTTAATCATGTTTAATTAATGATGTGTTGTGTTACAATTTCCCCCTGCTTTGGGTTTTTATCCTGTTTGCATTTAAGTGTGTTTTTATTTGCTAAAAAGTTCTCATTTTCCTCCTTAAAGTATTTTTGTATGAAGACTGTGTTTATTTGCATTGGATTTTTCGAGACCAACAATAGCAGCATGCCGCAACCTTCGTGGCGGGGTTCAGGATCTGAAGGAGGGGCTGATGCACAAATGAAAATGCTATACAAGAAATATGAATTTAGAAGGCATGGGGAGCCAGGTGGAGACCTCTTTCTTGAAGAAGCACCCCAGAGACTGAGTCCCATCTGCTTTTTATTCAGTTTTAGATACACATCTTGCCCTCTAGCAATGCATACAGGCATATCAAAGGTAAAGCTTGGTAAACAGTAAAAGGATGATCAGGTTAGGACCATGGTCAGCAAACTGTGGCTCGCAAGCCACATGCGGCTCTTTGGCCCCTTGAGTGTGGCTCTTCCTAAGCCTTAGGAGTACCCTAATTAAGTTAATAACAATGTACCTACCTATATAGTTTAAGTTTAAAAAATTTGGCTCTCAAAAGAAATTTCAATCGTCGTACTGTTGATATTTGGCTCTGTTGACTAATGAGTTTGCCGATCGACCACTGGATCGTTAGGAAATTGCCTTGAGCCATTGAGCCCACAGCAGGGCAATATTATGCTGATTTTTCAGCCCTGCTGAATATCAAAATCCATTGGCCTTCCCATGATTCTTTTTGCATTAATATGCTAACCGCTGTTGGCTTTAGCCTAAAAATGTCCCATTTTGTTTATATAGTTGTGGACAAAAAAGGGCCACATGCTAACCTAAC